CTTCCTCGGTCTTCCCCCCGCCCCTTGCTGCTACCGCTGCTCATAGCGCCGAGCATCCCTCAGTTGTGCTGTGTGGAGGTTTTCCAACGCGGCTGGCATCATAACCCGGAGGTACCTTGCCCTGACTTTTGGCCTTGGATAGCCGAGGACGTGAGGTGCGCGGACACGAGCCTCCTCATCAGCAAATTCCTGGGAGGTCTGGACGAGGCCTTGGGAGGAGGATTGAGGATGAGGGTATATGAGCTGGGTGCTGAGGCAAGCCTAGAGGAGGTATTTGACTTAGCAGAGAGGGTGGAGCTGGCACAGAGGAAGTACGAGGCTTATCTGCCCAAGCCAGCTGAGAGAAGCCGGAGGCCTAGTTGGGCAGCGGCAATGATACCGGAGGGGGGAGGGAGAACAGAGGGACGAGGAGAGACAGGGATAGACACCAGGACCTGTCACCGGTGTGGGCGGCCAGGGCACCTGCGCAGGGACTGCAAGAATTGTGATGGGTGTGAGAAGCCAGGACACAGGAAGAGGGAATGCCCGAATGCAGCCAAGTGTGAAATCTGCAAGAAACGTGGGCATGAGGCGAGGGATTGCTACCAGAGGGAAGGGGGGACTCGGAGGCAGCCAGAGGAGCTGCAGCGGCAGATCAGTAGGCTACAGGCACAGCTCAGGGCAACAGGGCTAAGAGGAGAGGCCGAGGCAGGGATGTATGCCAGGGACGAGGAAGGGGAGGAGGTGGAGCAAGACGTGCAGTGTGCCCTCATGGCATGGAGGGGAAGAGAGGAGATGGGGCTGAGGAGTGGGGGGACGGATGGGAGGCGGGAGCAGGGGAGGAAGGAAGGAGCGAAGGGAGAGAAGCCAGCCGAGCCAGCCCTAGAGAAAGCCCCAGCACGCCATCCCCAGCTCGGTGCTGCTGCTGGAGAAGGGGGCAATGGAGGTGGGAGGAGAGAAGGTGAGGACGGCAATCATAGACACAGGAGCACAGAGTGTGATGCTAGGCAAGGGGATGGCTGAGAGGCTGGGGTTGCTGGCGCCAGAGAGGCATGTGGTCAAGGGGATGCTGGTGATGACGGCAGAAGGAGGGGAACCGAAGTGGATGCCATGCACCCGTACGCCCATAGAAGTGACGCTGCTGCCAGGGGGGGAACATGAGACCAAAATCCGTATGAAGTGTGGGATTTCTGAGTCAGAGGACTTTGATGTACTGGTGGGCACCGAACTGGTGTTTGCGGTAGGGATGACTATATGTACTTGGACCGAGAGGGTCGAGTTTAGGACGCGACACTGGAAGAAGGAGGGGCCCTTGGGAGAGCTGCCAGTGCGGTTCGTGAAGGTGGAGCCCAAGAGAGCATATCAGGCTGTGGGGAAGCGACTGCCGGGGGAGCAACAAGCCGAGGAGCAGGGAGGGACAGTAGGGTTGGAGGTGGGACCCAGAATGAAGTGGATGGACGAGCCAAGGCAGCGGAGTGACTGGCAGCAGCCCATCCATCTTGTGGAGCTGTTCGGAGGGATAGGGGCAGGCTTGTCCGCGGTGGTAAGAAGTGGAATAGCCGTGAGGAAGTGGACCTATGTGGAGAAGGAACCTGTGGTAAGGAGGATGGCGGAGCACCATGCACGGAAACAGCACGTGGAGTTCCCAGACTTACTGAGTGAGAGGGTGATTCGGGAGGCCATGGGAGGGGCCGTCCATGATGTGCAAGAGATAGGCGAGGCGGAGGTGGCGAGCTGGGGGAAGGTGGATTTGTTGGTGGCGGGGTGGGAATGCCAGGGGGTGTCTTGGGCAGGCAAGGGGAGGGGAGGAGGAGATCCCAGGACCGAGTTGATGGGAGACCTGTTCCGCATCCTGGAATGGCTACAGGAGAGGCAGGGCAGGGTGGCGTACCTGCTAGAGAACCTAGACTTGGAGGGAGACAGCAGAGAGCCAATCCGATTGGTAAGAGAGAGAGTCAAGGGGCAGCTGGGGAAGGGGGTGAGCTGTGATGCGGCCAGGATAGGGTCGTACGCACACCGACTCAGGATGTACTAGCAGAACGTGGTCCCTGCCGTGCAGCTGCAAGCAGAGATGGATGGGGTGAAGCGAGCAACGGAGAGAAAGGTGCAGGACATCCTGGCACCAGGGCAGACTCCAGCGCCAGTGTGTCGCAAGAGCTACAGCAGGCATTACCCCTGCAACCAAGTGGGGCAGGAGAGGCAAGCCCTGCCCACTCTGGTGTCGTATGCAGGAGCGGCAGGGTACAAGTGGGAAGCAGGGAAGCCCGGGCCGGGAATGGTGTATGGGGGGAGGGGATGCGGAGGCAAGTAAAGGGGTGGGTGGAGGGCTGTGAGGCATGCCAAAGGAGCAGGGCAAACCTCACCCAAGCCAAGGCGGAGTTGCAGTCTCTTCCTATCCGAGGCCCTGTGATCATACACCATTCCCGGCCCGGGCTTCCCTGCTTCCCACTTGTACCCTGCCGCTCCTGCATACGACACCAGAGTGGGCAGGGCTTGCCTCTCCTGCCCCACTTGGTTGCAGGGGTAATGCCTGCTGTAGCTCTTGCGACACACTGGCGCTGGAGTCTGCCCTGGTGCCAGGATGTCCTGCACCTTTCTCTCCGTTGCTCGCTTCACCCCATCCATCTCTGCTTGCAGCTGCACGGCAGGGACCACGTTCTGCTAGTACATCCTGAGTCGGTGTGCGTACGACCCTATCCTGGCCGCATCACAGCTCACCCCCTTCCCCAGCTGCCCCTTGACTCTCTCTCTTACCAATCGGATTGGCTCTCTGCTGTCTCCCTCCAAGTCTAGGTTCTCTAGCAGGTACGCCACCCTGCCCTGCCTCTCCTGTAGCCATTCCAGGATGCGGAACAGGTCTCCCATCAACTCGGTCCTGGGATCTCCTCCTCCCCTCCCCTTGCCTGCCCAAGACACCCCCTGGCATTCCCACCCCGCCACCAACAAATCCACCTTCCCCCAGCTCGCCACCTCCGCCTCGCCTATCTCTTGCACATCATGGACGGCCCCTCCCATGGCCTCCCGAATCACCCTCTCACTCAGTAAGTCTGGGAACTCCACGTGCTGTTTCCGTGCATGGTGCTCCGCCATCCTCCTTACCACAGGTTCCTTCTCCACATAGGTCCACTTCCTCACGGCTATTCCACTTCTTACCACCGCGGACAAGCCTGCCCCTATCCCTCCGAACAGCTCCACAAGATGGATGGGCTGCTGCCAGTCACTCCGCTGCCTTGGCTCGTCCATCCACTTCATTCTGGGTCCCACCTCCAACCCTACTGTCCCTCCCTGCTCCTCGGCTTGTTGCTCCCCCGGCAGTCGCTTCCCCACAGCCTGATATGCTCTCTTGGGCTCCACCTTCACGAACCGCACTGGCAGCTCTCCCAAGGGCCCCTCCTTCTTCCAGTGTCGCGTCCTAAACTCGACCCTCTCGGTCCAAGTACATATAGTCATCCCTACCGCAAACACCAGTTCGGTGCCCACCAGTACATCAAAGTCCTCTGACTCAGAAATCCCACACTTCATACGGATTTTGGTCTCATGTTCCCCCCCTGGCAGCAGCGTCACTTCTATGGGCGTACGGGTGCATGGCATCCACTTCGGTTCCCCTCCTTCTGCCGTCATCACCAGCATCCCCTTGACCACATGCCTCTCTGGCGCCAGCAACCCCAGCCTCTCAGCCATCCCCTTGCCTAGCATCACACTCTGTGCTCCTGTGTCTATGATTGCCGTCCTCACCTTCTCTCCTCCCACCTCCATTGCCCCCTTCTCCAGCAGCAGCACCGAGCTGGGGATGGCGTGCTGGGGCTTTCTCTAGGGCTGGCTCGGCTGGCTTCTCTCCCTTCGCTCCTTCCTTCCTCCCCTGCTCCCGCCTCCCATCCGTCCCCCCACTCCTCAGCCCCATCTCCTCTCTTCCCCTCCATGCCATGAGGGCACACTGCACGTCTTGCTCCACCTCCTCCCCTTCCTCGTCCCTGGCATACATCCCTGCCTCGGCCTCTCCTCTTAGCCCTGTTGCCCTGAGCTGTGCCTGTAGCCTACTGATCTGCCGCTGCAGCTCCTCTGGCTGCCTCCGAGTCCCCCCTTCCCTCTGGTAGCAATCCCTCGCCTCATGCCCACGTTTCTTGCAGATTTCACACTTGGCTGCATTCGGGCATTCCCTCTTCCTGTGTCCTGGCTTCTCACACCCATCACAATTCTTGCAGTCCCTGCGCAGGTGCCCTGGCCGCCCACACCGGTGACAGGTCCTGGTGTCTATCCCTGTCTCTCCTCGTCCCTCTGTTCTCCCTCCCCCCTCCGGTATCATTGCCGCTGCCCAACTAGGCCTCCGGCTTCTCTCAGCTGGCTTGGGCAGATAAGCCTCGTACTTCCTCTGTGCCAGCTCCACCCTCTCTGCTAAGTCAAATACCTCCTCTAGGCTTGCCTCAGCACCCAGCTCATATACCCTCATCCTCAATCCTCCTCCCAAGGCCTCGTCCAGACCTCCCAGGAATTTGCTGATGAGGAGGCTCGTGTCCGCGCACCTCACGTCCTCGGCCAGGTTGATCAGGCGGTTGTAGTAGGTCAGTAGTGACTCTGTCCGCCCCCTCCGGAACTCCTGAAACTCCCTTATGCGCTCCGCCGTGTGTCCCGGGAATTGACGCTGAAGCCGCTCCAGAAATGTCTCAGTAGGATCCTCACCGTCCCTCCCCGCCCTCCACAGCAGCTCGTCCATCCTCATGCGGTACAACGTCTCCGCCTCCCCTTCCAATGTGTTCGGTAGGCTAAGAAAGAAGTCTATTGGGTCCATGCCTTGCCTATCGCAGCGGTACTTCACGTTCCCCACCTGCATCAAGTAATTCTTGAGGGTAGGCCCCGCACGTTGATCTCCCGAGAATCTAGCTGGTACTTCCACCCGCGGCGCGTTGGCTGTACTCCCCCTCCCATCTCCCCAAGACTCTTGCCCCTCCCGGCCGCCCTCTCTCCCTCCCTCTTTCCTTGGCTCTCTCCAGCCCTTCTCTGGCCTCTCGCGCCCGCTCGGCGCTATGCCAAGCTCCCCTTCCCCGTTCTGCTCTCCTGCTGATTCCAGCTCGAGTCGCCGCGTCTTGCTCTCGGGCCCCTCCATTCTCCTGCCCGCCCCTGTAGTCGTGCCGGCGAGACTGGCGCATCCCGCCACCCCGCTGTCCTCGTCTCTCGCTTACACGGCCTCTCAGGCGACGGAGACCATGCTTCTCCTCTCCGCTGCTGCCTGGCGCGTGGCGAGCGGAATCCGCCGCCAGTCCTCTTCTCCCAGCGCTCTGACATGCCTGACGATCGCGCCTCCCTGCCGCGTTCCCTCTGCCGCTGGTCGTGCGTCTCTGATGAATGCGGCCCCGCGTCGCCTCTCTCGTCCTGCCGCCAGTGGCCATTGGGTGCGCCTGACTCACCCTCCCATTCTCCCCCGCGCATCAGCTGTCGATCCGGCGAGCGCGTGCCATCTCCGACCCAGCCCTCCCGTGTCTGCCGCTTGTCGAGTGAGCGAGAGTTGTCAGGCGCGCGTTCCCAGCGCCGTGGCTCCTCCTCTGTCGCACGGGGTCGCTCCACTGCGCCCCTTCCACGCGCACCCTGCATCCCCGCAGCGTCGGCGTCCATGTCCCAGTCCCGCCGCTCCTGCTGAAGTGACCTCTCCGCGTGACTCTCTTCCTCACGGTTGGCGTCGTGCCGGCGTGACTCCCGTCGACTTGACCGCGATGCTTCCGCCACCTCATGGCTTGTGCCCCCATCAGTGTCCGCCTGTGCGGGCCCGGCGTTTTCAATCCTAGCCCCCGGCTCTCCGCCGTCAGCGTCGTCGTCCTCTGGCCCAGGGTCTGCGCCGTCCTCCTCCGCATTCTCCTCGATGGAGGTTTCCCACGGCTCCTCCGCTGGGGCGGCCTCCCCCTCTCTGTCGGCGTCAAATCTCTCGACGCCCCGCCAGTGGCCTCGCTCATCACGACGCCGTCCGCCCTCCTCCGGCGAGCGGAACAATCCCGCGTCTCGTCGGTCTCCGCTCCCGTTTCCGTCTCCGCGAGCTCGTTCCCTCCACCACGCGTCTCCGTCCGCGCTCACAGCATATCCTCCGCCGATCGCTCCTACGCTGGGCATCCCTTCCGCCCTTCCGTCCCTTGCGATGGGAACTCTGTCTGCACGAAAGGCCGGCCGGTGCGGCGAGCGCTCCAGAGATCGCCCACGCTCGCGCGACGACTCACGTCGCGGCCGTTCCTCCTCGCGGCGACTAAACACTCTACCCCACCGTAGCTCATACTTGTCCATGGCTACGTGCTCGACGCCCTTTCTTGGTGTTATAAACGGGATCTCACACTCAGTCCCCGGTTCCCTCCTGGGGTGTGCCACCGTGTGCTAGAAGCTAAGATGACCACTTTCACTACTAAGAGAGAATAACACCAAGAAAGCATCGAGGGGTTGGCCGTGAGTGACCTTAACCAACCCCAGGCTGCACATTTCCAAATGTGCGGCTCGGGGTTGGGATTGCTTGGTTTCACATTTCGCCCTCTGGTGCCTTTACCCTCGTGATCCCAACCGCTCCTATCCGATTTCCCCCCTTCTACACCCCTCCCTGACAGTAACTTTGCTACATTCTACACCTACAGCTTATTCCTATCTGAGACTATTATCACTATATAATCTTCCTATGATTGCAGCATTAAGCCCTCCCTATACCATTATCCTACTGTTATTGCATATGCATTAGGTGCATATGCGGTGACAGCAAGACGCTGCAAGCTTACCAGACGCAGACACCCGACTCGACGCAGCCACCTGACCTGACTCAGCCACCTGTGCAGACGCAGTGGTCAGTGTGTACAGACTAGACCCAGGCCGTCGAGTGAACGTAGCAAGGTGACGGCCAGTCCGGGAGCACGTACAGATCGCCACACGCTGCCCTCCAGGAATAGAGGTATCAACCCAGACATCCTGAATGGCAGCGTTGCTCACCAAGTTCGTCGAGAACGTGGGGAGGTGGAGACCTGACAGAGAGCCGGAGGGGACTGCTGGACACTGGAGGACAGTGGAGGCTCGTGCGACTACTGGGCCCCCAGTGGGGTCAGCCAGAGAGACTGGTACCAGTGCAGCAAGTGGTGTGAGTGTGGTGCAGTCACAAAAGAAGCAACGTGACGCGCGTGAGTCAAGTGTGAAAGTGTGCAAGGCCTCAGCTGAGGCAGGACCTGTGGCGGTAGACGCACGAGCACCTAAAGCTGCAGCAGACTCACTAGCACCTGGCGCGGCAGCAGACTCACTAGCACCTAGTGCGGCAGCAGACTCACTAGCACCTAGAGCAGCAGCCTCTACAGAACCAGGGACACATCGCTGAGGAAACAACTCACTAAGCAGCTGCGGGAGAAGGTCTCCTGCTGACTCTGCTGCCGCCGCTGTGCAGTATGCAGAAAACCAAAGCCTCCACCACCTAGACGGGCTCGCTGAATAACCCACTCGCGAAGCTGCTGCGGGGTAGCGTGTCCGGGAGAGGCAGTGGCTGCTGCTGTCCACCCCTAGCCGCTGCGACTACCGTGAGAGTGGCCATGACAGGCAGTGGCAGTCAGTAGCAGCTGCGCAAGGGCAGTAGTAGCGACTGCTGTAGTGAATGTGGAGGCGACTAGAGTACGTGGGCAGCACGAGCGGCAGCAGCAGTAGTGGCAGCAGCCGTAGCAGTAGCAGTTGGAGCAGCAGTAGGGCAGCAGCAGCAGCGCTTAGCAGCAGCAGCAGCTCATGCAACAGCGGCGCGCTGGGCAGCAGGGCGCGCTGGCGCTTTTAGGGTTGTGGGGCGCGCTGGCGCGCTTAGCAGCGGGGCGCGCTGGCGCGCTGGGCTGCGGGGCGCACTGGCGCGCTGGGCTGCGGGGCGCGCTGGCGTGCTTAGGGCTGCGGGGCGCGCTGGCGTGCTGGGCTGCGAGGCGCGCTGGCGCGCTTAGCAGCGGGGCGCACTGGCGCGCTGGGCTGCGGGGCGCGCTGGCACGCTTAGCAGCGGTGCACGCTGGCGCGCTGGGCTGCGGGGCGCGCTGGCGCGCTAGGCTGCGGGGCGCGCTGGCGCGCTTAGCAGCGGGGCGCGCTGGCGCGCTGGGCTGCGGGGCGCGCTGGCGCGCTTAGCAGCGGGGCGCGCTGGCACGCTGGGCTGCGGGGCGCGCTGGGGAAGGAGCTGCTCGCAGGCAGAAGGGGCGCGCAGGGCAGGGGCTGCTCGCGGGCAGCAGGGGCGCTCGGGGCAGGGGCTGCTTGCGGGCAGCAGGGGCGCTCGGGGCAGGGGCTGCTCGCGGGCAGCAGTGTCGCTCGAGGCAGGGGCTGCTCGCGGGCAGCAGTGGTGCTCGAGGCAGGGGCTGCTCGCGGGCAGCAGTGGCGCTCGAGGGAGGAGCTGCTCGCGAGCAGCAGTGGCACTCGAGGCAGGGGCTGCTCGCGGGCAGCAGTGGCGCTCGAGGCAGGGGCTTCTCGCGGGCAGCAGTGGCGCTCGAGGCAGGGGCTGCTCGCGGGCAGCAGTGGCGCGCGTGACAGCAGGGCAGCGCGCTAGGGCAGGCAGTGCGAGTAACTGCAGGGCAGCGTGACACTATGCGAGAGGGCCGGACAGCGCAAGGGCGCTTCAGGCAGGAACTAGCGGAACGATCGGTGGGCCCTAAAAACCTAACAGGTTTCTTGCTCTGAATACCATGTCAGAATCAACTGTGCAGGAATGAATGAACTATGAATGAGTTGGGTACAAGTACTAACCCTAAAGTGTTGTACCCCTTGTAGGCTAACCCACTATAGCCTAGAGAGAACACAAACATATAGTTTGACATGTATGTATAAGGCAATCCATTCTCCAGTTGAGACATATATGCTTGTTCATTTACCAATGACAAACCTAATCACCCGGATATAAGACACCCCCCCGGCGGTTGTAGACCCCCAGGTCTATAATACGGACTTGGGTCTTCTACTTGGGTAAGTTTGAGTTATACACCACCCCATTTGGATGTAAACATTATGAGACGTACCAACCTATCTTTCCCCCACTCCCCCTTCACCATTATGTATTGTTGCGATATGAAACTTATTGAGTAGTGTAAGGAAAAATCCTTTTCCTTACTTCGCGTCCCTGCTCAGCGCGTACACCACTGTTCCCGCCAACAACTCAACAGTGCAGCGTTACCACTCGCAACACCCGCCTCGACCACTGTTCCCGCCACTGTTCACGACGCGACCCAACCTCATGGTTCGGTTGGTAACACGCGCTCCGGACCTCTGCCTCGACAATTCCCAGCCTCGGCGCTAGGCCCGTAGCGCACCCCATTTTCACACATTACCGTTACCACTGTAGCTTCGCTATATATTCTTCGCTCATGCCTTCGCTCGATGTACTGTTTGCTTCGATAGTGCAATTCTTGCTCGCTCACTCAATTGCACTCGTAACACTTGGTATTCAGAGCCTACGATCTCTTCTCGGACCGCACCCACACCTTCGCTTCCCCACTATCTCAATTTTTGGGGTGGGTAGACGTCTCTCAACGTTCAGGCACCGCCGCTCGAAGTGCTCTCTCGAAAGCACGCACTGCCACGACTGAGGCTCTCGCTGAGCTTGCCCGACACCCTCGCCATGGCCGAATTCAACCTCGCGATGTTGACGCAGGAGCAGCTCGACTGGCTCGTACGTCAACTCGAAGATTCGCAGCTTGAAATCGTGACACTCACGGCGGAACGTGACTCCGCCCGCCAGCAATCAACGTTGAATGCACCTGCACCAACAAATGCACCTGCGCTATCGGATGAGCCGATTGTTATTTCATCCGGCACACCGTCACAACACAACAGCGTGGGACAGCGCTAAGGCGCAGCCAGTGATGGCGCCGCCCAATCAATGCCTGGCATGGAGAGGAACAGGGCCGCACCAAGCACGAACGGGCCCCACGAAGCCCGTCGTCACGTCGAATTTGCAGCGATGATCGGCATTAACGACATCGTCGCACCAATGCCGCTCAAACCGCAGCGCCCGCCCTGTTTCGATCCCAACAAACGTGGAGGTCTGACGGTTCCATCGTGGGTCTTCACGATGAACGTCTTCTTCGACGCGAATTACGTCGAGTCGGATGCAGCGAAGATACGATACGCCGTTTCGCTGCTACGGGGCCCCGCCATGGACTGGTGGCGAGTCATTGTGACGTCGCCACGCGCCTACGAGCCGCCATCGCAAGAGGAAGGGCCCACGGGTCTAGCCGTCACCTGGAGTTCGTTCTGCGAAACCGCCCAGTACAACACGTGGGATGCGTGGTGCGCAGGGCTTCGGGCGCGCTTCGAGTCGATCGCGACTTCTATTTCGGCGCGTCAGAAGCTGCGTACTTGGCGACAACTTGGGTCGGGCCAAGACTACACGAGCGGTTTTCTCACACTATGCGAGCAAGTCGACTACATGCACGAGGCGGAGCGGGTGGACTGTTACGTCGGAGGGCTGAAGCCGAACATCTCGCACGAGATCATGCTACGCGGGCTATCGAATTTCAACGAGATCCTCGCGCTCGCCGAGAAAATCGACATTTTGCGCCGTCCGAGACCGGGGTCCTACTACGGACATCGCCCTCGAATGCCCAGAGGAGCAGAGACACCGCGGAGCAGAGCAGGGGAGGGAGTCTCAGAGGCAGGGAAACGCCAGCAGTTAGTAGAAATCGGGCCAATTACTGACGAGACAACCTGCTCGCCCAACCTCACCGACCCTCACCGAGTCACAGTACCGATTCGCGCCATCGATCGGGCTCGGATGAATAAGGAGGGTACAGCGACGGATTGCCCCAGCTACGGGGGACAGCAGTGAGGATTTTTATAGATGGAGGAGCAAGCCACAGCTTAGTTAATACCGCAACTGCACGGAAGCTGCAACTGACACTTAGCCGCTGCTTACCGGAGATTGACGCACGTTTAGTTGACGGCACGCCACTGGCCATACGCGAGAAAGTGGAGAGGGTGAAAGTTCGTTGCGGGGGGAACTTTGGGTTTACACAGGAAATGCTCGCGGCAACACTGGATGGGCACGACACTTTACTGGGGCGTGATTGGTTGCGACGCTACAATCTGCGAATCGACTGGACGACGGGTAGCTGCACTGTGTGAAGTAGTGGTAACTGGGTCGAATTACCTCGCTGGCAGTCACCTGAGTCTTCGACGGTCCACGTCAACGCCATCACGATGAAACGGGCTGTCGCCGCTGGAGCTGACGTGTACGCGGTGGATATCGCATTGGTGGGAGAAGCAGAGCAGCCGAGTGACTTTCAGAAACTGCTGGCAGCCGTACCGCCCGAACTACAGGAACTACTGAAACGGTATCCGTGGATTTTTCCGGACGATTTGCCGGAGGGGTTGCCACCTCAACGAGCACACGACCACCGCATCGAACTAGAACCGGGGGCATAGCCAACCGTACAGTGACAGTTCAGACAGACACAGTCCGAGCTTGACGAACAGAGGAAGCAGTTAGATTACATGTTAGAGAAAAAAATCATCCGACCGAGCTCGTCACCGTTCGCCGCACCGATACTGTTCACACCGAAAAAAGACGGAGGGTTTCGCATGTGTATCGACTACCAAGCACTGAACAGAGTAACAGTCAAGTCACGATACCCCATCCCCCGCGTTGACGAACTGATAGATCAACTGCAAACAGCACGGGTTTTCTAAAAAATTGATCTACGGGGAGGTTACCATCAGATTAGGGTCGAACCATCGGATTGCGCCAAGACAGCATTCAGGACTAGGTACGGGTCTTTCGAGTACACCGTGATGCCATTCGGGTTGACCAACGCACCGGCGACATTTCAGATGACCATGAACGAGGCGTTTAGGCCGCTCTTAGATAAATGCGTGATAGTTTACCTCGACGGCATCCTCGTCTACAGTCGCGATAAGCAGCATCACTTAGCAGATCTGGAAGCAGTGTTTAAGGTTTTAGACGAGCACCGACTACTGACCTGCGAGTTTTTTCAGGATATGTTATAATTTTTGGGGCGCGTCATTTCGGAGGCTGGAGTCGAGATCGACCCAAAGAATCTGGACACGGTGAAAGTGTGGCACCCCCTGACAAACATCATGGAACTGCAGAGGTTTTTAGGTTTTGTTAATTATGTGCGTCGGTTCGTCCCTGACATGGCACGGTTAACTGCCCCACTGACGGATTCGCTGCGGAAGGGGGTCGCGTTTACGTGGGGGGAGAAAGAGCATGCTGCCTTCTCTGCCCTGAAAAACGTTCTCTGTTCACCGCCCGTCCTGCGCATTGCCGACCCACACCGCCCATTCGAAGTAGTTACAGACGCAAGCGACATCGCCATCGGAGCCGTACTGCTACAGGAGATTGGTAACTGCTTACAGCCCATCGCTTACGAGTCACGAAAACTAGATCCGCCGGAGAAGAATTACCCGATACATGACCGCGAAATGCCCGCGATCGTGCATGCGTTCAAAGTCTGGCGCTGTTACCTGACTGGCACAGACGTGACAGTACGCACAGATCACAAATCACTACAGTACCTCCGCGTACAGCCCCACCTCAACCCACGACAGGTTCGCTGGCTCGATTTCCTCGAGTGAAACTTCCACTATACGGTCACCTACAAAAAGGGGGCATCAAACATCGCCGACGCACTGACCCGCCCCACTGCCCAGATCCACGCCATACTACTCGCCTAGACCAGCCCACTGCTCATAGGACTATTTACCCACGGCTACCAAACAGACCCATTCTTCACCGGAGGAAACTCGCAACAGTTCGTAGCAGCAAAGGGGTTTATTACGTAAAAGCCGGCACCGATCGCATCTGGTTACCGGGCTACACGTTACTAAGGGAGCTCTTACTACAGGAGGCACACGACGCGGTTACCTCAGGCCATTTCGGAGTATAAAATCACGACAGCAGCAGCAGCGGTACTATTACTGGCCCGAAATGCTGACCGACGTACAGCGACACGTGGCATCATGTCCCACCTGCCAACTCATGAAATCATCACGGAAGCGGCCGGCAGGTTAGTTGCGCCGATACCACCCCCAGAGCGTGCTTGGCAGCAGGTGACGATGGACTTCGTCACGGGGTTACTGGCCGGAGCAAGTGGGAATGACGCGATCCTGGTCGTCGTCGATCG